AACAGTGCCTTGAAATGAGCCATGCTGGTGCCACGTAAGGGAAGAGAAAAGGAGGCTCCCAGGGTTACAGAGGGTGCCTCACGCTGCCCCCACAGCCACCTCCTGGGGCTGTCCAGCTTTCAGGGAGTGAAGGGGCCGCAGTGTCCTGCCTCCCTCAAGGTGACTGAGATACCCTGGGTCCCGCAGGGGCACAGTGTCAGCTCTGGGCCTGGTGGGGGCTGACCGTGGGAGGGGGATGTGCAGAGGGGTCGAGGCTCCACCCAGGCTCAGCCCCCATGGATGCTGAGTCAGCAAGGAGGGGGTTTTTGGAGGACAGGTCCTCCTCTGGCCACTCTAGCAAGGCTGGCCTCCTCCTCCTTCCTGGCCACCTCCTCAGACCCTCTCTGTCCTGCCCTCCTACAATGCCGTTGGCACCCTCCTTGCTCTAAGCCTGGGCGTCTTGGCATGGCAGATGTTCCAGGAGGGCTGTAGGCAGGTGCTGGGGCGGGTGCTGCCGGCCTTGGCCCGTCCAGCCTTGGCTAGCCCCACCAGTGTCCGGCAGTGTGGGTGGAAGCTTCGTCGCGGGCTCCCTGGCCAGGACAGGCCCTGATGTAACACTGTCCCTGGGTGTTTGTGCCCACCATAATGGGACGTGCTGTTTCTCTGGGTGACGAGGTCCCAGATCTGGCTAACAGCACTGTGGTCTGAGGCATTTCCCAGTCTAGGAAGGGGCAAAGTTTCAAGTGGGGCTTAGTGAGAACAGACAGCACTTCTTCCACGCACCTCCCTCCCCCCCGTGAATGCCACAGCATCAAAATTCCCACCTCTGAGTTCTGTGCCAGGCCCCCCATCTCATGGGTGGATTTCGGGGTGTTCTGTGGAAGTTTAGGGCTGAGGGGCACAGCTTGGAGATACACCCCAATTGCTGGCCTCCAAGAGCCCTTCCTGTGTACCCCAGGCATGAGGAGTGTGGGTACTGGACATAGGCCTTGGTGTGTCCCCACAATTGGGCCAGATGACAGGATGGCAGTGTCTCTCCCAGGGCACAGCAGGCTGGGGTGGCCTCCTGGGGCCAGTGTGATGGCCCACTCTTTCTCTGCAGAGCAAGAAGGGACTCCATGAGCTGGAGGCTTTTTGAAAAAATACAGATTTTTAGACATATAATTACGCAAACCATACAGTTCACCCGTTTACAGTGCACACTTCAGTGGTTTCTAGAACATGCAGATTTACACAGCCATCACTACAGTGGATTTTAGAACATTATCTCAGAGAGAAGCCCCATACCCAGCTATCCCTGCCCCACCCACCACCCCCAGGCCTCAGCAGCCACCAGGGCACTGTCTTGGCTCTGGAGTTGCCTGCTCTGGACACACACAGTCCTACAGGACATGGCGTGTCTGTGTCTCAGCATCCTGTTCTCAGGCTGACCACACTGCAGCCCCCATCAGGTGAAACCCAGGACGCCCAGGTAAGACTGAGTTTCAGATGAACAACAAATGTTTTTTCAGTGGACATACTTACTCCTCAAAGGAATTCATGGATTATCTGAAATTCAAGTTTAACTGGGCATCCTGTATTTTACTTGCTAACTCTGCCTTCCAAGATAGTGCCTCTGGTCTCATGGAGCTGGGGCACTACTGAAACCAGCATGTTAGGCCACCCCCCAAAGCTGGGAGTGCCCCAGGAAGGGGAGAGTCTCAGTCCACTCCCTGGCACCCCGTCCTCCTTCAAGGGAGGCTCCAGCTTCCAGATAAGGACAAACAATAGTTAAAAAATGAAGGCCTAACAGCCAAACAAAATATGGTCTGTCCACACAGGGAAGCATCACTTGGCCTTAGAAAGGAAGGACATCTGGACACCTGCTCTGACATGGAGGGACCTTGAGGACATCTGACAGCTGTGCCCCACCCCTCGTATAGAGGCGTCAGTGAGGACAGGCTCAGGGATGGGAGGCCCTGCTGTGCCAGCTCATTCCCAGCTTGAGCTGGGTGCAGGGAGGACACTGTCCAGCCAGGTCAGGCCTTCTTAAAAGGCCCCTGCTCCCAGGCCACCCCGCTGGGACCCACTGAGCCTGATCCCAGGGTCTGGTCCCACCACTCTTCTACTCTCACAGTGTGACTGCCCCCAGCTGCCCAGCCAGCCTGGCCATCTGCTCCATCACGGACATCTCATTTGTGCCAGGGCCTCCCGGGGTGGGGCTGAGGCTGACTGTCTGAAAGGGTGTGTGTTGGTGCCCTAGGGTTAGGCCCAGGTGCTGCCCTTGGAGGCTGCAGCCTCTTGGGGAAGAAGGTGCCGTGGCCCAGCAGGGTGAGCAGGAGCAGGATGCCCCGTACTCCAGTCCGGTTGCTTGCAGTTGTGGCAGTGGGCCCGCAGTCTGGGGCCAGCTGCTTCCCCCAGCAGGCCAGTGGCACTGCCCCAGCTCAGGGGTACAAAGTCACCGGCTAGTGTGGGGGCACCAGTGCTGGACTCCCATATCTCAGGGTGCAGCAGGTTCCACCTCTGAGCTGCTACTGTCTTCTTCCCTGCATCCCCCACAACCCCCTCATGTACCCCTCTCCCCCTGTAAATCATGTTCACAGGACCCGGTTCAGGCTCTGCCAGGAGAGCTGACCTCAGACGCCTGCATTGTCCATCACTTTCCCAAAGGAGGCTGAAGTGGGACATGGGCAGCCCCGTCTCTGGGAGCAGAGGACCCTCAGGGCTGTGTCTGAGACTCAGCCCCAGGTGTCCTCTGCCCAGGGTTTGTCATGTTCACTGTCACCTGGAAGCTGAGGTGCTTGTGACATAGCCCATTCCTTCTGGGGGCTCCTAACTGGTTGAGTGGGGAAGACCTGCTTGGGAACAGCAGGAGCCGGTGGCTGTCCTGAATCAGTCTGTAGCTGGCAGCTGATATGGAGGCCGTGGATGCTGTTGGCCCCGTGAGCTGGGGGTGCAGTGGCATAGGGGGTGCAAGCTGACTTGGATCAGTGAGAGCTGGGCAGTCTGAACAGTCTCAGCCAGAGCAGCCTGGGAAGGGTCAGGAACTGTCCTGACTGGGGGCTGTAGGGAGGCGGCAGGGAGTGACAGAACAGCCACCGAGGTCACTTGGGGCCATGCTGCAAGCTTTGGCTTCCACACCTGGCCTGGATCTTGGCCTCCATGGCAGGACGCGTGAGTGGGGTGATGAGGGCACGGCTGTCTGGCGGGTGCCCTGCCTACAGCCCGCTGCTGCCAGACGCCAGTCCTTCTTGCCGTCTGGAAAGAAAGATCCAGGGTTGCCAGCTTCTCTGACTTTTCAGGAGACCCAGGAGATCTGAACTTCTGTGTGAAATCTCTTGTTTTGAAATGCTACCCATTAATTCCAATTTTTTATGAGAACACTGTGTGTGACAAATAAGACCTGTTTGCTGCTGAGTCCCAGCCTCTGCCATGCTGAGTGGGAGGAGCAGGTGACAGGCCCGCTCTTCTCCCCCAAAAGCCTTTCCCAGGGGTGAGCCCCTCCGCTGGTGCCTGGCTGCGATCATAGCGGATAACTCAGGAGCGTGGGCCAAGGTTTCCCACGTCAGGCGCTGGCCCGAGGCTCCCTTAACTCTCACAGTGACCAGTTTGGACCGTTCCACAGATAAGAAAGCGGAAGGTCAGAGAGGGTCAGACACTTACCTAAATCCACACAGCTAATAGGTATGGCAGTAAATGAGCCTGGTCTGCTGCTGGCTTGTCCTTTTTACTTCATTACACTAATATATAAGACAGAATTTACTACTTTAACCACTTCTAAGTATACAATTCAGTGGCATTAATTACATTCGCAGTGCTGGACAACTGTCCTCGCTCCGTCCAAAGCTCTTCCATCACTCCAAAGTGCACTGCCATTAAACAGTACCACCTCATGCCCCCTCCCCGGCACCCGTGAGTCTTCTGTCTCTGTGACTCTGTCTACTGTGGGGACCACATGTGAGCCGGATCCTCCTGTGATTGTCTTGCTGGCATATTTCACTTAGTGGAATGACCTCAAGGTTCATCTGTGTTCTGGTAGGGTCAGGATTTCTGTGTAAGACTGAGTCGTATTCCACCGTGTGTAAACTGCACTTTGTCCCTCCGTCGGCCTGCAGATGGACACCGGGGTTTCTGCTACCTTTTGGCTTTTGTGGCTCGTGCTGCTAACCTGGGCACACACACGCTTGCTCAGGGGCCTCCCTTCATTGCTTTTGGGAACATCAGGTCTGCGGATTTTAATCAGAGTGGTCATCAGCCACTGCCCCTTCCCCAGCGCTTGGGTCTCTCCCACGGTTTTCCTGCTGAGTGGTCTTCCATGCTTAGATATCTGCAGCGATGGGGGCTTCACTGCCCTGCCTGCCAGCCTGTTCGGTGCTGAGCGTACAGTCCAAGCCCACGTCCCTAAAGCTGCCCCCACTGTCCCACAGCCCAGGATGTGCTGCTTCCTCCCGATGGTGACATCCCTCCCCAGGCCTCGGCCCGCGCGGGGGCTCCCCAGTGCATTGCGGCATCTGCGCCCTCACTGTGCACACAGACTCCAGCCCAGTTTCTAGGAGAGAACAAAATCCAGCTGCAGGAAGCAGGACAGATATGTTTTTAGAAATGACCATCAGTGTGGTATAAATTGTAAAAATGCAGCATGGTCTGTTCCCTCAACACAGACCCCACCAAGTGTCATCCACAGAGGAAGGGAAAACAGAGCACTGTGGCTGTGTCCACTCACCGTCGCCCGTCCCTCCTCTGCTGCCGTCCCAGGCACTCACCCTGTTCTTGTCTGTCTCCCCAGGGACGTACCAGGGCCAGTGGGTCGGCGGCATGCGGCAGGGCTACGGTGTGCGGCAGAGCGTCCCCTACGGCATGGCCGCGGTCATCCGCTCGCCCCTGAGGACGTCCATCAACTCTCTGCGCAGCGAGCACACCAACGGCACGGCACTGCACCCCGATGCGTCCCCGGCGGTGGCCGGCAGCCCGGCCGTGTCCCGGGGGGGCTTCGTGCTCGTGGCCCACAGCGACTCAGAGGTCCTCAAGAGCAAGAAGAAGGGGCTGTTCCGGCGCTCGCTGCTCAGCGGACTGAAGCTGCGCAAGTCGGAGTCCAAGAGCAGCCTGGCCAGCCAGCGCAGCAAGCAGAGCTCCTTCCGCAGCGAGGCCGGCATGAGCACCGTCAGCTCCACCGCCAGCGACATCCACTCCACCATCAGCCTGGGCGAGGCCGAGGCCGACCTGGCGGTCATCGAGGACGACATCGACGCCACCACCACCGAGACCTACGTCGGCGAGTGGAAGAATGACAAGCGCTCAGGCTTCGGGGTGAGCCAGCGCTCGGACGGGCTCAGGTACGAGGGCGAGTGGGCCGGCAACCGGCGGCACGGCTACGGCTGCCTCACCTTCCCCGACGGTACCAAGGAGGAGGGCAAGTACAAGCAGAACATCCTCGTGAGCGGAAAGCGGAAGAACCTCATCCCCCTGCGGGCCAGCAAGATCCGCGAGAAGGTGGACCGGGCCGTGGAGGCCGCAGAGCGGGCCGCCACCATCGCCAAGCAGAAGGCCGAGATCGCGGCTTCCAGGTAGGAGGGCGAGGGTGTGGGCCTGGGCGGCAGGGCCCTTCGTGGTCACCTGGCCAGGTGTTCATGGGCCTGGTCTAGTCGGTCACACTGCTCCTCAAGGCCTCAAGGCCTTGGGTTGAGCCCAGTTTGAGGCCGACGCTGGTGTTTCTTGAACTGTGCCCAGGAACTCTGGGTTGTCCAGGAGATTCTTGGAGGGGGCACATGTGGGGCCAGGAAATGGTTGATCTGAGGGGTGCTGGGGCCTACGGCCTCCTCCAGACAGAGCAGTAGCTCACACTGCGCTCTGTGCTGGTGTTTTGAGAAGGGGGCTGTTCTGCTGTGTGATGTGTAGGATGCTGCTGCCTGGGAGAAGGGGGCTGGTGCTGCCAGGTGGACACAGTGCAGGAGTACGGGAGGAGCCTGGAGCTGCCCGGGCACCCAAACTTGTGGCCCAAATCCTTGCTGAACCCAGGAGACTGATCATAGGCGCCCACCAAGGAGTTTTAGGGCAGCAGCTGTTCTGAATAGGCTGTAAGACATTGAATTTGGGGTTCAGCAGGGGCCCCAGCCCTAAGGAACAGGTCCAGGGGTGACCACAGTGGGGACAATGTGGATTGTGCACAAGGGGCTGAGGCTCTGGAGCTGGAGGCAGGTTCCCAGGCATGGCTCCTGGGATGCTGTGGAAGTGGACGTGTGCACCTGGGCTCTGCCCCAGTTAGGCTGAGAGGCTGCGATGGACATCCAGCAGGAGCTGCCCCCACGGGTTGGGGGACATCATCCCCCCCCAAAAGCCACAGGCCCTACAGGTGCACATCAGGCTCCACAGTTATGGTTACTCAGGGTTTATCAAGGCCGTGGAAGGATAAAACCCGTGGGCTTCTGCAGGTCAGCGTAGGGCCCTTGGAGTCTGCCCTGGGAGGCACGGGGCTTGGTGCAGGCACTGGGGGCTGCTCCAGATAATTCTGGAGGATTCTGTGTTCCCAGTGAGTTAGGCCCAGATCCTTCCAGGAAAGCCTGAAACTCAGGTCACACTCGGCCCGCCTGACCCTGCTGCTGGTTGGACTTGAGCCACTTGGTCCTGACGGGCAGCAAAATGCCCATCACACAAATGGCGTCTGTGGCTTGTTGGTGGGACATTTGTTGCTCACAACTTCGGAGGTTTAGAGGGACATGGGATTGATCTCAGGAAGCTGAGGGAACAGTGGGCTCACCACCCGGACGGCCCCCTTGTGCTGTCCTGGAAATGCTCAGGCAGGGAAAGAGACAGGAGAGTCTGTGAGGAGTCACCTGGGATTTTAAGGCCAAATTAGAGCCAGTAGTTATTTCCATCATAAAAGGGAGGCCTCCTCCACGCAGGAAAACTGGAGGTGATGTCTGAAAGAAAGACAATGTGTTGGCTGTTGTTGGACGCGTTGTCGGAGACTCTCCTGGGCGTCGGGTGCCGGTTTCTGTGGGTTGTGTTTTGTGCTGTGTGCTGTTGGCCATTGTGCCTCGGAGGCATTCATGGGTCTAGAGGTGCAGCCTGGAGGATTTGGGGTGGTCATGGTAGCTCAGGCCTGAGGTGGGAGCCCTGGAGGTGGCAGAGGACGAGCCTCAAGCCTCTTCCCAGCTGAAGGGCAGGAGCTGCGATTTTTCAATGGGTTTAGTGCTGGGGGTGGGGAGCTTGTGAATGGCTGGCTCAGAGGACCGTCCACTGGAGTGTGAGAGCCTCCTGCAGAGTGACTGGGCCCGCAGTGGACTCTAGTTGCGGCTGGGTTGGTGGTGGTGTCACTGCCTCCGGGCAGGGCTTGCAAAGCCACAGGCAGTGAGAAACGGCTGGTCCTGTGGTGTGGGGACCTTCCCGAGAGCAGCTCTGACACGGGTTTTCCTGGAAGATGAGGTGGGGGTGCCACTGTCATCATCTGGGAGGTGACTTGGGCTTTGGAACCGTGAAGCTCTCTAGGTGACTCTAAGGTGTCTTGTGAAAATGCAGATGGCCCGGCTCTCTGCCAGTGTTGCCTCAGGTCTGGGTGGGGCCCGAGAGCCCTCCTTTCCCATCCCACGGCTCTGACTGCTTTCTGCCCTCATGGGTGCTGCTGCCAGCAGGCCTCAGCCCAGTGGGGAAATGAGGTACCTGCAAAAGTGACCATGTGACCATGACACGGGTGGGTGGACAGCTAGAGTGCCCACAGGCACATGTCTGTGGAGACCAGGGAGGGGCTGCAGAGAGGGGCAGGGAGCCACCCTGCTGAGAGCGGGTAGGGGGAGCTGCCGCCTTCCCTGCCTGTCTCCTGAGGGTCTTCCTCCCTGCTGGGCACTCCCACCAGTAAGGGCTGTGGTGGACTCCATCCTACTGTGTCCCCTGACAGTGGGCTCAGGAAAGAGGGTCTCAAGGTGGCCCTTGCCCCATGGCTTTAAGAACTTGTATCCTGGGCGGCACCTGTGGCTCAAGGAGTAGGCTGCTGGCTCCATATACCAGAGGTGATGGGTTCAAACCCAGCCCCGGCCAAAAACTGAAAAAACAAAACAAAACAAAAAACTTGTGCCTCGGCTCGGCACCTGTGGCTCAAGCGGCTAAGGCGCCAGCCACATACACCTAAGGTGGCGGGTTCAAATCCAGCCCGG